ATGCATGCAACATCACATAATGATTTGCATGTGTGAAAAGCCATTGCAGAGCAACACTGAAAAATGAAACATCCAGATCATTTCAAATTCAATTTTTTCTCTCCCAAAAGTTAAGCTCATGAATAAAACAGAGGCTGGAGACTGATTATGCAGGGTGTGTGGGCAAATTAACTCTAGGTTTTAACAGAATTTTACAGGAGCTATCAAAGGTGCTGTAACACATCCCCAAAATATTTCTTTAAAGTTCAGATTAAAACCTGGTGTGGGTTCAGTTCCTCATTCCCATAAAATTAAAAATGCCAGCTTCCACACAGGTATGAAGACTGCCAACTTTTCAATTTGTTGTTGCACGAGTAACAAAGGTTAAGAACCAGTGCCGTAACACATCCCCAAAATACTTCTTTAAAGTTCAGATTAAAACCTGGTGTGGGTACAATTCCTCATTCCCATAAAATTAAAAATGCCAGCTTCCACACATGTATGAAGACTGCCAACTTTTCCATTTGTTGTTGCACCAGTGTACTTAAGCATCAGCAAACACCAGCAAGAGGTAATATTTATTTCCTTTCTACAGTCAACCCTCGACTTATGAACGGCCCTAGTTATGAACTGCTCTGATAGGAAAATATAGCCTCGACTAGCGAACTTTGATTCGAGTTACGAACGCAAAAAACTCGCAAGAGGCGGGGATTTGTTGTTGCACCAGTGTACTTAAGCATCAGCAAACACCAGCAAGAGGTAATATTTATTTCCTTTCTACAGTCAACCCTCAACTTACGAACGGCCCTAGTTATAAACATTTCGAGTTACGAACTGCTCTGATAGGAAAATATAGCCCCGACTTGCAAACTTTGATTCGAGTTACGAATGGAAAAAAATGCGTGGGAGGCAGGGCAAGCATGAAATTTGAACTTTCAGGTGCTTGTCTTGGCTTGTCTTGGCTGAAAAGGTGCTTTTAAAGGTGTTCTGTCATCTTAGGTTAAAAGGGAAAAAAAGAAAAAAATCTGCCCCTAGTGGTAGGAACGGATTAACCAGCTTTGCATTAGTTCCTATGGGAACTACTGCTTTGACTTACAAACTACCCCTCGACCTAAGAACCATAAACAGCCAGAATGGATTAATAGGTTTTCAATGGATTCCTATGGGAAAATTTGATTTGACTTACGAACTTTTTGAGTTACAAACGTCCTTCTGGAACGGATTAAGTTTGTAAATCGAAGGTTGACTGTGTAAAGCAATTCCCCAGTGGTTTGTTTCAGGTTAAGCTGTAGTTATAGACACAAGAGCACACCGATACCCTTTCCCCTTCCCTTTCTATCAGCAGTCCTAGCAGTTAGTCATCATGTACTAAATAATCTAATACCAAATACTGTATACTTCTGGCCATTGACCCATAAAGGGTGACTCAGTGGCCACTTTTAGATTTGTCAGTCCTGCCTGCATCCTTCCCCTAATTAAAGCTAAGTAAAATATAGCATAGGCTCTCACTCAAGCTGTAGTTATAGACACAAGAGCACACCAATACCCTTTCCCCTTCCCCTTCTATCAGCAGTCCTAACAGTTAGTCATCATGCAAATTGGGATAGATAGTGACAGTGAAGGAAAATGCAACCAAAAGGAAAGGAGACACTCACTTTCCAGGTCTGGACTTGGATGTAGTAGTGAAAAACATCACTACTACAATATATGTTGTGAGCTACAACTAGAGTAAACCCACTGACTCAATGGGATTTATATAGAAGTTGTCTCAGTGGATCTATGCTGCTGGCCCCAGAGTGCTGGATGCTCCCCATATGTGTTAAATTATCTTCCTTGGGCAATACAAATCAGCCTTCCACTTGTTTCAGTAAAAGCACTGCTTACAGCGTGGAAGAGTGACGGCCCCAGGTATTAGCTTTATATCTCAGTTAACATGAAGTGCCAGAACTTAAATGCTTTGTCCAGTAGTATACACAAGGTATTAGCTGCATAGCATAGCTATAGATTTACTGTAATTGCAAGA